TATAAGTCGGAAAGTTAAGCCAATAAATAACCAGTTTAACTAGTCACATGAGTTAGGACCTCAGTGTTGTCCAATCTCATTTTACTGAATATTCTATCTCCTCAAAGTGATTTAGAATTGTCCAGATTGTTTTGGCCTGTTTCCACTGGTAAGAGACTAAACGAAATTAAAGATACACAATGTCTATATATTTTGTTCAGGGAACTTGAAGACAGTAGGCATAAGACACAACTGAATTCCTAGAATAGTTTCTGTGGTGATTACATGTATCCTATGCGTACCTACAATATCAACAGTCAGTTCATGTATCACTGCTTCTAAAGCTATACCGTACTGATTGGTATATTAGAATAAAGATTCGTTGTATCGAAACTAACCATTTGTTCAAAGGCAAGCTATCAGACGTCGTATGTTCTGTCTGCACTCTGTGTACTGTATATTTACATAAAAGCAAACACAAATGATACGTTTAACTACGATTGATAAAAGATTCCATTGAAACTTTGAACCTCATAAACATAAAAACATCATACAAACCGACTGAAATAAACACTCAGTGTACTATAAAATGACACTGAAAGGCTGTTAACATTCAATTTGTGACACTATTAACCTAACAGTAACACATTTGAAACTGTTGCCTTTAGACTGATATTCAATCGTAAACTCTCCAAGATGATTATAATATCCAAGTTATTGATGTTCACCACATTCATAGTAATTTCTTCAGCTATAATTCCACTAACGAAAGTTATTTCAAGTCACGGAGATTTATGCAAAATTAAGGAACCTTTGAAATTTGAATATGATTATACTTCATGTTATATACTGGAAGAAGCAATAAAACGATTTGTGACAAGATTAAAAACGGACCACGTGCCACCTGGTTACATATACGCGGAGAATTGTTCAGTGTCGTTGGTGAAAATCGAGATCGTTGAAGGATGCAGTGAAAAAGAAGGTAAATTATGGCCGTCAGAATCGATGAAAGAGTCATGTGAGTTGAACGCATATGTGAACTTTGAATGAATACGATTGACTTTTTTAGATACAATGAAAGTATTGGACGGCACTATCACCATTCATACAGAAGAAGTTTGGGGAACACTACATGCTTTAGAAACTCTTTTCCAGTTGGTGCAGAAAGATATATCTAGTCATGTAAATTCCATATAGAAGTGTTGAAAATGAATTTAGAATGAGATCTACGAGTATCTCATCGTGGATCTGCCACGCTACGTACACAGAGGTGTGATGATTGACACAGCCAGGCATTATCTCAGCACTGATACAATAAGAAATCTAATTGTAAGTTGAATTGTCATTTCTGACTTGAAATTGATGATGATAATAAAACAAGGCTGCAATGTCAATGGTCAAGATGAATGTGTTGCACTGGCATATGACGGACGATGAATCCTTTCCATATGATTCCTCCGTTTATCCTGAATTGTCTTCAAAAGTAAGAGATTATCGTGGAGATAATTCATCATTTGTTTCTGGATTTTTCAGGGAGCATACCATCCTCACGAATATGTGTATGGAAGAAGTGAAATTGACTCGTTGATAGAATTCGCTCGGTTACGTGGAATTCGAGTAATAGTTGAGTTTGATACACCTGGTAAGAAGGAGTCTTTTGAATACATACTGTGCTCATTTAAAAATGCTCAGTATTTGAGCAAATTTTCAATGATTTCAATTACTACTATCAAATTCGAAGTAAGTGTTTGAACAAGCGAGATCAGTAATCAAATCATGTGAAAGTGAGTGGTATCAAAATTTACAATTTGGTGAATGAAATCGTGCTAAAACGCTAGTTGACAGCTGCCATTAGTATAAAAATAACAGACATTCAGTAAATAGTCTGTTGTCGAAGCAACACAGAGAAGCTCTAAGAGAACTTAGAAATAATGAAAGCCTAATTATTAGCACTCCACATGAAGGTGACAGTGTAGTTTTACTGGATAAAATCGACTACGTTGAGAAAATTGATTGTATTTTGAATGATTAGACTAAATTCCAATCTCTTGGTAGTTCCAAAGATCTCAATGTAAAAGCGAAGAAACTAATGATCGACTCTCTCAAAAAACTGAACCTGAAAGGAGTATTATCATCAGCTATGTATGAGTCTATGAAACCAACGGGTATCAACACTCCACGTCTTTACGGTCTATCCAAAATGTATAAAGCGAGTCTTCCTCTTCGCCCAGTTTTAGGCATGTATAACTCTCCATTTCATGGAGCAGCGAAGTGTTTAGTGAAGATTTCGGGACCTTTGCTGAACTTCGTGTTCTCTTCTTAGAATGAAAAGGCCGAATTTTGTGAATGTCATCAGTGACTGAAATGTGTAGGGCTATTGTATCTCCATTTCGAATATTTCAGTTTATCCGAACACATATTGAAAACAACATTGGTTCTTCATGTTGGTAGAAACTCACATTACGAATTATTTTATGATGACCATCGGAAATGATCACTTTCCAGTTCACAGTAAATTACAGGATCATGTCTTTCAGAAATCACACCGGTGACTCACCACTCTTCCTTTCACCAGACCTTCTCAGTACAAACATCTGTGGATTTTATGGAATCACCTTTTCAACTTTTACCACATACCAACAAACATCAACAAGTCACTTCGTTTTCTGATTCAGGTCATACTTTGTCATGGGGGGCAAGTCATCCGGAAATACTCTCAGGTGAATCACATGAAGGACCAATCAATCCAGCTAGTGAAGACACTCGTACAATTCTGTCAAACTTGTTTCAAGAGGTTGTCAGTGTTTTCCCCGATAAGTTCCTACATCTGGGTGGCAGTGTGTATGACAGACAGTTGTGGTAAGTTCACTGGTTTCCGTGAATGTTTGTATTGGTGAGGCATCTAAAGTGGAGACTGAGGGGTTATTATATTGTGCCATGCGTCTCACATTTTGTTTATAGGACAATATTATGTCTGTTGTAAGCGTTATTATCATGTAGTAATTTGTGATACTGTCAAAATACTTATGGATTTCGTAAGTATTCCACGTATTTGAACCTGAATCCAAACTATGACTATCAGTCGTGCCCTATAGAATATCATCAGGATAGTTCATTAAATGGTGGTTTGCTGAATGAAATATTCAGATAGGTGTCGCTATTGCTAACTAGACTTCTGATTCATCCGTGGGGTATTCTAGAAAATATCCCCTTTCTAATGAATCCATCAATTCTAAATGATTCTTGAGAACACTGGAGATGAAAGCTTCTCCTATGTATATAAACGCTTGTAATTGACGGAATGACCGATACCAGTAGACTCCACCCGTTTATACTACTGGTTTGTTGATAACTTTCACATCACCATCTGTGAGATCACTGTTTCCGGGAAGATGAGAAGAATGGTGGCGACAAGTGAAGCAATCACCGTCTCATCCATCACCTAAATTGTACATGCAAATGGCAGAAATTGAAACCACTGACATCGTGAGCATCACACAGTCGAAAATAGGCTACAGTTTGTCCTCCACTGAGATCATTCCATAATCTTATATTCTATAATGAATTAGCTTAGCATCCGCTCTACCTGGCCTCCTACCATGACAATGCCAATAATTTCGGTTAAATGTGATATTCTGCACTTATGCTATCCTCAACTATTCAAAGTGCGTGCGTCTGTGTGTTTGTGACAGATTTCATTTTATGATTTAGGCAAGAAGATGCAGAGATTCAAGACTTTATGAAGCAGAATGGATTTGACGAGGACTACAATAAACTGGAAAACTACTATTTTGAAATGCTTGCAGGAATCATTGAGAATATTGGTCCAAATGTACAGTCGACAATCACACCGATTGTGTGGCAGAGTGTATTTGAAAATGGTTATCGCGTAAGTTGACTGCAGAGTGGATGAGTGCTGTTTACTTCTCACTTTGTCTCCTGCTTTCTCACTCAATAACACGTACGGGTTGAATTTATTTGATTGAAAGTCTTACTAGGTATAACATGCAGTATTCAGTCATACATTGGAAGACAATCTTTGATATGAATTCTCACTTAGTGATGCTAAATGTTATGTCTAGCAAGGGTTGTTGTTCAAAACTAGCTGTCATGAAAATATCACATTATCTGGAAATTGAATCTAAGAGAAATTGTGAATCGTTTATTTTCTCACTCTTCATGATTGTATGAATATTATGTCGGACACTGAGTTTACAATGTTCGCTTGCATTCACCATCCTTCCTGACATCCAACTATTTAATGTGCCTGGTTACTAATAAGCACTAGAGAGATTTTCGCGAGAAAACGGTAGAAACCTGGATGAGCCTTCCGAACAATTTTTTTTTTGAATTTTTTTGATAACAGCTTGATTCCACACCGTATTTTTGGTACAAGTGTGGAATTTTCAGCATGGATATCGGTAGCCCAAATTTTGCAGGCCGACCATTGATATCGGGTGTGCGTCGGCAGGGCATCGAACCTCAGACCATGTGCATGGTCGGCGAGAGTCCTAACCACTGTGCCACCGACGCACAACCCTTCTGTAAGTCAGTTTTGAAATATTTGTTCACCTGGAGATTTCAGAATTTGGTGTAAAATGCTTTTGTTGTAATCAAGGTATTGGTGACATGCAATTCATAAAAAGAGGTGAAGCTTTAACTTTTAATAATATCCTAGTTATCATATACAGGCAGAGTTGATTTAGAATGAGTTAATACTCAACAATCGATGGTCATTGAAGCTTTTGTCACAGTTGAAATTAACTCAAAGATATAAATCCTAAGCAATAAAATTTTCAATCATTTTCGATGAAATTATTTACACTTCTAGTAGGCCATTTTGACATGTAACAATAATTCCACGTTAGATTGGAACATTGTCGGCTATAAAGCAAGTAGTGAGTTTTAATTTGAAGGCATTGCACAGGACTATGAACTGTTTGATGAATAGACAACGGTTCACAGATACATGGATAACTTTAATGAACACTACACATAACATGTCAATTTTAATTTCATAGGGAAACACCAACACTGTCATACACGTACACAATGAGTCCGATTGGCAAAATCTTGTCAAATCTATCACATCGTCTGGATACAGAGTTATAAATTCAGCCTGTTGGTCGAATCTGAATGAAGCTGTTGTCACAGACACAAGGAAGTTTTACGAATGTGATATATCACAATTTGAAGGTAAATCAGTGTGATGTTAGATATTCTCTGATTGAATATTGCTGATAACTCACCACACTCAGCAGTATTAGTAGCAGACAAACTATACGTGAGTTATCTTCCGCGTGTATAACTGGATTCTATCTTGAGGAATATTATAACTGGATTCTGAACTTGAATACTTATAAAGAAGTGACTATCTAGTGAAGGAAATTCATCTTTACAACGAATAGATCTGCAGTGATGCTTCCTTTTTTTAATGAATTATACCTAAGGAGTGATATCCCCACTTTTCAATTCTTAGTCAGTATTTTACAACATAGCAGTTATGTTCTTTTTCTTTAGTACACAGAGAGATTGAAAGTGTTATAGATAATTACACACTGATGCACAAATACACAAACGAAATGCAAGAGATACATAGATAAATGCAAAATGCACATCATGCACCTCTGTGGGAGGATTACACAAGAAATTCTCTGTGAGCCTAGACACCAGTAATTCAACGACTTCAGCCAGTTTCCTATTGCTTGTACACAACTGCTATTATTCTCAAGATCGTCCTGATGACAAGACCTAATTAGTGAAAAAGTGGTACGGATCAATACTCTAAATACAGTGTCGTGGCGAACAGCGGATTTTTATTATTTAGCTTCTACTACCTTGATTTCTCTTGGGCTGGCAATTAATACAATATGCAGTTGACTTGTACTAGTAGTGACAAGGTATATTGTGATTTCTAAATCTTACAAGAGAATCATGACACCTGCGATTAAATGATAGAAGTAACAGTGACACTCACTTGGCCCCAGAAAGTAGACATAAATGAGTGGTTGCAGGTCTCGTGGGTAACTCATCAATATTTTCCTCTCACATTGGTTTCTGATGTGTCGATAAGTTCACCTTATATTTTTGTTTCCTCTAAGGTACCGATGAAGAAGTTGAAATGGTGATTGGTGGAGAAGTCATCATCTGGGGAACATATGTGGATGATGTCAATCTCTTCATAGAATCCTGGTAAGTGACTTTTAGCACTTAATAGCAAATTTGATGTTACAACAGTGCGATAGTAAATATTAAGTTTCGAGACAAACGGAAGTTCGTTGAACAGTGAATGGCTAAACTGAAAAAGTTAGACTAAAGTAGCCTTGCACACTGTCGAGTGGTGTTGTTAGGATAGATAACCTCACATTTTGAGATATATCACTGAAAAATACGAGTCTTGATTAGGACAGAAGTACAACCTTACTAAAACATAGTTACTATTAGGTATTTACGCTGTCACCAACGTCATCACTTGGCGAAAAAGCAAAATGCCGATTATTTTACTGATTTGTATCTAAGCTGTTCCCAAACATAGAGGACACTCAATTACAAAAGTGTTTTCAGAAACGAAACATACAACACCAGCTTATGTTATTAAAAATAGAAGAAAGACATTTTTAAACAGAATCAGTTATAGAGACATCAAGTGATGCGACTAAAAAGATATTCTCACCCACATGGAATATATCAACAATCAGTATCTTTATGAATTGAGTGATGATGTTTCACTTGTGATGTGATTGTCTTCAATAGTCAGTTTCTTTCTATTTACTATCACTATCTACTAAAGGCCAATAATAGCCGCAGCTGCTGAACGTCTCTGGTATCATTACTCACAGGACTTCTCCTATTTCTCAGACAGACTGAAAGATTTGCACTGTCGAATGAGAACGTGAGTTACATAATTTCATTAATCTTATAATTATATTGTGGTGTCAGGAAAAGCATACCAATTTTGGTTGTGTAGTTACTGACTGTTAGTTATATCACACGATGATTCTTAAGTTTTGCTTATTCGGAGAGTGAAATTGGAAGTGTGCATTAATATGCTGTGCACTGAATAGCATGCATCACATCACATCATCACATGTATCCGCATGTTCTCATCTATGAGCACAAAGTTCCTCTCGGATCTCATCCGTCGAGGGTTAAGATCTAAATTCACTATTGGATGTCCATACATACACCTCAGTGAAATTAGACGTGTCTTCTACATATTGAATGGTGGTGATTCTAGACTCACGGAAGCAAGACGATAAACATAGTGACATTGAAGATGTACACTTCCATCATAGTCTGAGTTGTTCTCATTGTATTTTGAAGACAGAATCTTACACTTAATTCAGTATTTAGTCCAGCTGAAAATGTCTTGAAAGTATGTAAACATAATTGTGGATTTAAATTTTTATCTCTTTTCAAGATTCGACTGGAATGTGAAGCCTTTCAATGGACCAGGATACTGTCCGCTATATTGGTCACTTCGGATGGAGACACCATAATATCTTTAAACTGAAAAATAAAGCCTTCAACCTTGAACTACTGCTACTACTTTTACCTGTTTCAGTGTAACGATGAAAGAATATGTGATAAAATTTTAAATGTGTTAATTGCTCAATAGAAAAGGTGACTTGTGTGTTACATTTGAGAAATGACTTTAGCAAAGCAAAAAAAAGTGTTAGAATTGGAAGAAATGTGGAAGTTGTAGTATGTGCATGACTGATTGCGATTCTTGGCCATTTCTGGTGGCGTCTCGTGCCTCTTTGTTAGTTTACCCTAGACACCACGGCCGAGGATTTGTGACGCACCAATATATGCCAGCCTCGTACAGTTATCTTTCATTCCATAGCACCACCTCTTGGGCTGAATTTCCTTGCACCTTTCGCAACTAGTTCCACTGTTAAGATGCAGTTAACGATACGTCATCCGTTGGGATGTTTAGACCACCTATTTGATATTACAGTATGGTGACACTTATTGGAAGATTATCTTCACTGTGTTGAAACGCACTTCAGCAAACCTCGAAATCACTTATAAACGATGATGATGATGACGTGAGATACTAGCAATTTCGTGAAGGTATTAATGATTGAATATCCATAATTCTCTTATATCTTCAGCTTGTAATGTGTAGCAGACTCTGGAGTGACACTAGTAATAGATATCCAAGATAAAGATTCTTGTTTCCGTATGACAGCACATATGGAAAGACGATCATCAGCCTACTTAAGCTCATAACGTCTTTATTTAGGTAGGAGGTATACATGAGCCTTCCACACATCCTCTAAAGCATTTACAATAAATTTACTGATAACAAAGTTAAAGAAAACTGGTGCATTCGTTGAACAACATCTATTCCCAGTGTTGGATGACAACAGAAGTGGTAGCCGGTTATGAAAATTCACTCTACTTTTAGGTGTTTCTATGTACAGAGTTCAGTATGTTAACAAACTTCCCATAAATATCTCTCTCTGTCAGACTATACCAGAGGACATCTCTGGCCAAAAAATCGAAGCAAGACTTATTATCAACAATCAGTAGGATGATTGTCCTGTAATTGGAGTAACTTTGCTACAGCAACTGACGAATGGTGAACGTGTGATCAGTGCATCCATAATCTAAATGAAACTCGACATGCTCTTTGTAAGTCAATTTCCCAAGCAATTCATTCGCAGCAGCCAGTATTTTAGACGCAGCTGGTAACAGACTAGTAACGCGATGGTTTCAGCATGCATTACATAGGCCTTTTACAAAGATTGGCACGATTGTAGCTTCATTCCAGCTTTATGGAACATTCTCACTTTCATATACCTACCTAGGAAATTCACTCAGTCCTCTTACTAGGGTCTCACTAACTTCTTTTATGACAGCTGCAGGTAAATTGTCTAGGTTGGGTGTCCTATAGAGCTTGAGTTCCAGGTGGGATCGATCAGGATTTCATAGCCTTGTTTAAAGACTTGACGCGCGTCACAAAAGCATGTATTGAGCTAGCTGAATTTAACACACCATCTACATCTTGTTAGTTCCGACCAATTTAGTTGCATATTTCAATTCAGTGCTAAATGCTATTATTACTATTGTTTCCTTTAATTCCTAGAGGAACATAGGGATTCAGCCGAACGTCTCCATTGCCTTCGGTTCTCTGCCAACGTTTTCACCTGGCTCCAAGTCTGCCCACATGCTTTCATCTCCTCTTCACATTACCTTGGACGACCAACTTGCTGCTTCCCTTACGGGTTCCACTCGAGGGCTTGTCTAGTGATGTCACTTGATAGCTTCCTTAGAGTATAGCCAATCCATTTCCATTTCTTCCTGCCTATTTGTTTTCCAATTGGTTCCTGGTTGGCTCGCTCCCAGAGACCTCTATTGCTGATCTTTTCTGGCCAGCCATCTGTTCTTGAGTGGTACTGAGCGAAGACAGCTGTTGATGATGGTCTGTAGTTTGTTTGAGATGCTCTTTATGACGCGTCAAGTCTCTGATCCGTATAGTAGCACTGACTTCACATTGGAGTTGAAAATCCCGATCTTATTTTTGATACTGAGTACTGTTGACCTGCACACAGTCTTGAGAGAAATGAAAGCTTGTCTTGCTTTCCCGATCCTTGCTTTGATATCCTCGTCAGTTCCGCCTGTAGTTGAAACGATGGTTCCCAGGTAGGTAAAGGAGGTTGCTTCTTTCAGGTTTCTCCCATTTATACTGATTGTTGTCTGTGTTAAATGCTAATCATTTGCAAATTCGCGTAGTTTGACATCTGACATACGACTGGATTTTCATCTTTACTCATCGCTGTGTAACAAGTTCCCGACTGATGATATTCACATGTAGCATTGTTCAAGTATATCTAAATAACTCGTTAAGTATTCGTAAGATTAAGAAAGATTTTCAAACATCATTACAATTTTTAAACGTGAACTGGTTTTTCTACTAGAGCATATCTCAACATTATATTGCCTTTGAGCAAATGAATCTGCCTTCAGCTATGTTCAATTATTCATCAGAGTCAGATTATTTCACGATAAAGTTCTTCTTGTAGGAACTTTTACCTCAGTTTAAAGAATAAACCAATAGACATTATAACTTTATGCAGTCTCCTCCACATAATCACCTCAGATTCGATCTGGTTATCAGTAAGATAGTAAGTTTTAAAGTTCATTCGGAACACCTTCTTAATTCAAATTTTCACGAGTAGTAAGTAGGTTAATGTTTTCATTGAAGATTGTGATACCACTTTGAAAACAGCCCAGATGAAAAATAAACTTTGATTTATCTTAAACTTATTGAAACCAAAAACTTGTAATTACACAATGAAATGTGCGGTGGTTTTTGAATTCAAACATTAAATTACTAAAAATTTGTTGAATAAAATTTTAGGAATAAAAAAATGATAATTTAAATCTCTAGTAATAAATTTCATTCAGCTCACCACTACAGTAATTGCTGCTCACTATGTGGACCTTGAAATTCGATAAGTGATAATAATAATAATAATAATAATCTACTTTATTCCAAAAACAGTACTTATAATACAGAATGAAATTCTCAGCATTTGTCACAATATTGCATTTGATTTACTCAAAATATAAAAAAAATTAACCACAGGAATTTGTTCACATTTACGGTATAAAGTCAAAAATATTCGAGGTACAAAATGAGAATAATAAATAAAATAGTAATAATAATAACAGTGGTTTGTTTTAAACAGTATTTTCGATTCAGTTTGGAAATTTTAGCATGTTATAGATTACTGAATCTAATTTGCCGCTGATGTAGCATGGTGAGGGGAGAAACAAATAAATAACAGTTATCACACAGCTTAAATAATGTTTACACTTTTGAGAAAATAAACAAAAAATGTGGGAGGATTATAAATATAAAATTAATAACAGTAAAGCTTGGTGGAATAAGGATGGAGAAAATGGTTTATTTACTAGTGGAAAGAAGGTTAGTTAGTTAGTTAGTGCCTGACACTATTTTCATCACATAAAATACGTGCCAAATATGATATCGTGGAATTTTTATACTCTTTTCAAATGACTTCTTGTCTTACCTGAGGAGCTACGGGTAAAGTGGATGCTCACAGTTTGACAAAATTCCCTTAGCGAATTTGTTGCATGAAGCCAAGTGCCTATCAATGACGATGTCAACGATATGGCCCAATGGGATACCACTTGCCCTACTGACAGTTTTCAGAGTTCTACGCAGTATGTCATAGTCCTTTTTAAGCAATCCAGGAAAGAATAAGGGTGAACAACAATAAATAAGAATAGGTAAGATGCACGAGTTGATAAACTGTAAGAGGAGGGGTTGAGTTATGCCTGAGTGCCTTAACTTCTTAATGTAAAAAGTCAGACGAAATATTCTTTTAGAAATCGCTAAGACATGGGAAGACCAGGATAGGTTAGAAGAAAGAATTAATCCAAGATACTTAACTTCAGACTTGATTTCTATATCACTATCATCAATTTTACAAAGGTCGTAGGAATTAACAGCTTCATTTAACTTTCTTTTACATCGGAAACTGAAATTAACAGCCTGACATTCGGAAGGATTTAGTTTAAGACCATTTGCTGGCTACTGATAGAAAGCTGTTCATCTTAGTAGAGTCTAGCTGGGAGTTAATGGGCAATGAAACAGTTAGATCATCTTCACACTTAACAAAGTCTATTTCATCAGAATGAGGCAAGTCATGCAAGAAGAAAGAGGACACAAAAGCAGAAAGAATAGAGCCTTGAGGGACACCAGCCTCAGTAAGCAATGAAGTGAACGACTTCCCCTGACATACACTGTACTGCTTTATTTCTGAGAAATAAGAACACAGCCATTTGACAATCCAATACTCAGTTTGAGTTTCATCAAGCTTGTTTAACAAAATATCCCTAGGTACTAAGTCGAAAAAAGATATGTAATCTAGGAAGGTGCAGCGAACAAATTTAGCCCCTTTGTCCAAACTGGAGACAGTGTTATGGTACAAGACTGCAGCTGCATCTAAAGTACTTCTACTATGTTTGTAGGCGAATTGTTTGGAATCGCTAAAGGCTTTAAGTGAAGGTTCAAGATTAAGTAAGAGCAACCTTTCCAAAGTTTTAAAAAAGGGAGGTTATAGCAATGGGCCTAAATTTGATACATGTCCCAGTAGATGACTTAGGTATAAGTACAATTTTAGTGTCCTCTCAAACGGCTGGGACGACATCTTTGGAAAAGGTTTCATAAAATATATCAGTGAGAGAATAACGTAGGATATCCGCACAATTTTTTAGAATAACGCTAGGCAAACCATCTGGACCTAGGCTACGATTAGGGTTCAGCGACTGGAGACATTTTAGAATGTCATTTGTATTGAAACCAGGGAAGCAGCTTTCAGTAACATTTGTGACACTAGAAAGCTTGGCGTTTGTGGTAGAATGTATGAAAGCCTTGTTTATTGTACACACACCGAATGAATAAGGAATACTGTTTATCTGCTTACCACCAGTAATTTCTTTGAAAAGTTTCCATATATTGGAGGCGTTTTTACAGGATATGAACTTCTGGTTGTATATTGAATTC